GGGTCGATGAATTTTTTTTTTTGGTAGGAGGTTGTTCTGGTTATTTTAATTTTAGAGCATAATTAATAAATAATGATTATTTAAAAAAAAATGGATATCCAAACTAATTATTTGCATATAGGAAATGATTATAATATTCTAGTATTTGTTGAATAAAAAGGAAAAAAAAAAAAAAAATTACGGTGCCACCCACCGCACAATCAAAATTTAATTTTTTTCTAAAGACATAAAAAAAAAAAAAAATAAAAAAAAATGTAGTAATAATAGTAATAATAGTAATTAAATAAAGATAATAATTTTTGATAAAATTAAAATAAATAATATACAGAAAAAATAATTATTTTTAAAAATTTTTAATAATTTTTCAAAAAAAAAAATAAAAAAATTTGAATGTATTTTTTTTTAATTTATAAAATTTTTTCAAAAACTTTTATAAATATTTTTTTAAAACTTTTTTTTTTATTTGTCTAGTTATTTATAATTTAATAGCAATTATAATTTTAAATAATGTCATCGAAAACAGTTATTTTAGTTGGTGGACCTAGTAAGGGTACTAGATTTCGTCCATTATCATTAGACATACCAAAATTATTATTCCCAATCGCAGGCAAACCAATGATTTATCATCATATTGAAGCAGCAGCTAAGGTACCAGAGATGAAAGAAATCATTTTAATTGGTTTCTTTAAGGAAACAGTATTAAGAAAATTTATTGAAGAAACATCAAAACAATTAAATATTTCAATTCGTTATATCAATGAAGATAAAGTTTTAGGAACAGCAGGCGGTCTTTTCAGTTTCCGTGAACAAATTTTAGAAGGTTCACCAAAGAATATATTTGTACTTCATTCAGACATTTGTTGTGCTTTCCCATTAAAAGATTTATTGGATTTCCACAACCAACATGGCAGAATTTGTACTATTATGGGCACTGAAATCGAATCAAAATACGCAAATCAATATGGTTGTTTAGTTCGTGATGAAAAAACAGCAGAGTTACTCCATTATGCCGAAAAGCCAGAAACCTTTGTTTCAAATTTAATCAATTGTGGTGTTTATGTTTTTTCACCACAATTTTTTGATGTCATGGGCAAAACTATGGTTGATTTAAGAACCTCTGGTCAAAATATAAATACTGATTACCCGTAAGATATAATAATAATATCATATTCATTAAAATTAAAAAATAATACTAATGCTTTTTTTTATTTATAGAGAAATCACTAGAAAAGGTTTTGATAGCGAACGTCTTAGATTAGAACAGGATATTTTTGTACCACTTGCAGGTACTGGAACTATTTCAGTATTCCCATATATTGGATTTTGGAGACAAATTAAAAATGCTGGTGCATCAGTTTATTGTCAAGAACTCTACTTAAATCACTATGCAAAAACAAAACCAGAGGTTTTAAAAAAAGCCGATAATATAATTGGTAATGTTATTATTGATCCAACTGCATCTGTTGACCCAACCGCTTTAGTAAGTTAAAATAATATATTGTATATAGATGGTTTAAATTTTAATGTTTGTATTTTTTTTACTTTTATTTAATTTAGATTGGACCAGATGTTTATATTGGACCAAATGTTAAAATTGGTAAAGGTGTTAGAATTATTCATTCAATTGTATTGGATCAAACAGAAATTAAAGATCATGCATGTGTTATTTATAGTATTATTGGTTGGCAAAGTTTAGTTGGTGTTTGGGCTAGAATCGAAGGCATTCCAAATTATACCCCATTCCTTTATAGTCAAGATAAAAGAAAAGGTGTTACCATTTTTGGTTCAGGTGCTCAAGCTAATGGTGAAATTATCGTTTCAAATTGTATTGTTATGCCACATAAACAATTGGATAGAAATTATAATAACGAAATTATTTTATAAAACCTTTTTATACTTTATATACATATAAATTATTAATATATCAATTATATAAAAAATATAAATATATACTTAATTACTGTCACCATTACTTCCTTAAAAAAACAATAATTTACACGATAAATAAATATAATATAAATTTCTTATTTTTTTCATCAAATATTTGATGTTAAAAAAAAAGAAAATGTAAACTCATTTAAATATTTTTATAATTTTTATTTTTTATTATTATTATTTTTGATTACCTTTAATTTGTTTTTGTTGTTGTGGTTGTTGTGGTTGTTGTTGCTGTTGTTGTGAAATATTTAAATTGTTATCATCAACTGAATTGTTTTTATCGTTAAATAAACAAACTGAAGCTATGTAGTTGTTTTTCATAATTTCATAAATTATACCTGAATATCCATAGAAATAAGTTGAACCAAAAGGATTTGATACAGAACCTCTATTGTTTACAACTGGTTTTCCACCTTTTCCAAATATCTTTTGAACATCATCCCATTTAAGGTCTGGGTGCACAAAATTTATGGTTGGATCTAAATGGTATTCATTATTATTTGGGTCGGTGGTTGGTTGTGCTGGTAATATTGATAAATTAGAAGGTGATGATGAAAGTGGTGATTGCTGTGAGTTGTTATTACTATTATTTTCATGTTGCTGATGTTGTGAGGATGAAGTTGTTGAGGTTGATGAAGGTGTCGAGTTTGAAGAGACGCTTTGGTTTAATGTTTTACCTGATAAGTGATTCTTTATTGAATTGAATATAATCGATGAACAATTTGGTGTTTGATTGTTGCTAATAATTTTAAAAAAACATTTTGAATATCTATAAAATTTTTTAAATGTATTAGTATTTAAGATGACTATTTAAATTATTTTCTAACTTCACTTACAAATTAAATTCATAATGGGTTGGGAAATTTGTGTGGAGAATAAACTTCTTTATGACGTTCTTTTTGATATCAAATAAAATATCAATACCTAAATAAAAGTAGTTATAAAAGTAATCCTGTGCTATAGAACCTTCAACGCTTGTATGAATTTTCATATTGTCTTCTTCTTTATGATAGATTTTTGATGGTGGACCAAGTTCGCTTAATACATCTTGTGTTGTAGATTTAAATGTTAGCATACAGTTTCTTTTTGTGAAATAGATTCCTTCATTTGGCTGTTAAGTAGTATGAGTAATATTAGTAAATTTATGGTTTTAATGTGGCTCTATTAACACTACTATCAATACATACACAAACTATAATTTCTTCATTAAAGTGTGGTACAACAATTAAGGGTGTTTTCATTTGTAAAGAGTTATAAATAAATATCTTTTCAACTAATGGTGTGCTTCCATCTGGTAATTCTACAGGAAGCTCTGTTCCTTCGTATAATGATTTAAATTCTGGTGGTATTCTAAAGCTAAATGATAGTCCCTAAGTATTGTTTTGTTTATAATTAATAATTAATTATTTTTGATTTTTTGAAGTAAAAAATATAATGCTTACTGGATAGTGAAGGTGGTAAATGCTTTTTTCTAAATTAAAATCGCCTGGGTATGATGGTCCAAATTTTGAATAAATATCAACAAATGTAGCTGTGTGATCCTCTTGATTAAAAACTGAACCCCTGTAACTTAATGATAATTTCTTGACATCAAAAATTTCTATAACTTTTAAACGTTGAAGTTTTGGTTCAAATCTTAATAAAACCCCATCATCAATTAATTTTATAACTATGTCTAAACTTAATGGATCCTATATTTAAAATTTAAAGTTAATTTATTAATGTTTTGATGTCATATTATGATGTTATATGATGTTATATTATGCTATGATATTATGCTATGTTTTGTTTAAGGCTGTTTGTGTAAGGATGAAAGAACGAAAAAAGATTGTGTGAAAGAAAAATAAAAATAATATTACATTATCATTAAATATAATTTGTACAGTATTAATTTGAACATTATTATTTTTAACTATATTCAAAGCTTCCGAAATAGACATACCCAAAACAAAGTCACCAAGACTCTTTGTTGGTACAAGTTCTAATTTTAAAAACATTGTCTAATATAAATATAGGATTGTTTGTCTATTTATTGTATTTATATGCAAATTCTATTGGTGTTATAAAGAGAAAATTTAAAAAAAAAAAAAAAATAAATATATATTTATTTTTTATTTATTATTTATTATTTATTTTAATTTGTGTGTATTTGTGTGGTTGTCTGTAATTGTGTGTTTTAAATTTTTATATAAATTGAAAATTTTAATAATTTTAATAACCCCAAAAAAATAAAAAAAAATTAAAAAAAAATATTTTTTTTAATTAAAAAAAATTAAAAAAAAAAAAATAAAAAAAAAAAAAAAAGATAAATATATTAAAAGAATAGATTTTTATGTAAAAAAAAAAAGAATATTATATTAAAAATAAATATAAAACATATTAAAAAGATAATTAATTGTTTAAAATAATGTGATTTAGTAATTATAATACATAAATTTTATATATTATAGAAATTACTATAACAATCAATAAATTAATAAATATTTTAGGTAACAAAAAAAGATATAAATAGAAAAAAAGAATTCATACCTTAACACAAACCTTTCATTGTGTTTTGATTTTTAAAATTTTAATTTTTTTTTATTATTTTATTTCATTATTTTAAATTTTTAATTTTTAATTTTGAATTCGATTTTGATTGTTGTTATGCCTTTTATGATTTTAAAAAAAAAAATTACTTTGAAAAAAACAAATATGTGTATTTTAATTTTTTTTTTTAAAATTATATTTTGGTAAAGAGATTAATTTCCTTTTTGATTTTTTTTTTTATAATTTCTAATAAATACAAGAATTGGTAAAGCATTACTTTTTACATAATTCATAATTTCTCCTGAACCTTGTCTATATGGCCAAAGATTTTTATTTCTGCTATAAGCCAAATGGGAAAGTTGGTCTATATTAGAGATAGCATCCCTAAAAGCTCTACTAAGAACAGAGACATTGACATCAAGAATTTCAGCAACCTCGGACTGAGATATACGTAGCGAGTCTACAGTTATGGTGAGTATTTTAAAACCCCCGACTATACTAAAGTTTAGTTCTTTAAATTTTTTATTGTAGTTACGTGGTTTATATTGGTGGGATTTACGTGGTATTTTTATTTTTTTATGGTCATTATTCTGAGGCTCTGTAAAATCTGGAAATTCTTTTATTTCTAGCTCTTTATAAAAATTTTCATTTATTATATAATCGACCAAAGTATTATCATCACAATCAACATTCATTTTTATAAATTTTGAATAGGTTCTTTTTTTATTTTTTTATTTATATTTTTATATATTATTTTTATTTTTATTTATTTGATTGAAGACCACTTTATATTTGATTGAAAGTTATTTTTTATAAAAAAATTTTATACTATTCTCTTTTATATTGTGGAGTATTTAAAAAAAAAAAAAAAAAAAAAAAAAAAAAAAAAAAAAAAAAAAAAGGTTTAAAAGATTTTCAAAATGGTCCAAAGCTTTCAAAAATTTTTCCCTTTTAAAAAAAAATTTCTTTTTTCCCTTGGTTAACAAAAAGGAAAAATTTTTTTTTTTTTTTTTTTTTTTTTTTTTTTTTTTTGGTTATATTTTCAAAAAAAAATACCTCCTTTAGACCGTTTTTTTCCCCCCCCCTTTGTTGGGGGGGGGGAAAAAAATATTTTTGCCGGTTAAAATTTTAAAAAAAAAAAAAAAAAAATTTTTTGTATTTTTTTATAAAAAAAATAAAACATCAATCTCGGGGGCGAAAAAAAAGAGGGGTAAATTTCCCCCCCCCCCCCCGGGGAAAACCCCCTTGT